CTTAAATCGTTGTTTGAAGAAAAGAGCTGAAGTCTGTACAACTCCCATACACCTACAATGTGGATAACAGACTGCACTCACAGGTCTATGGTGCACTGTGTTGAACAACCGTCGATCAACAGAGATGAATGCGCCTTGACTATGGGTCGAAATTCAAGCGCGCGTCTTCGTTCTACTTGTATCTATATCTTACACTTTTTGAAGATGGATAGTTACCTCCTGAACCCAGGTACCTGGGACAGTATCCGCTCAGCCGAACGTTAAGTGGACATGGGGAATTTGGACTGCACAGACAACTGCCGACACAAAAGCTCGGCGACATTTTGGTTAGATGTGTACTCATATACTTCCGAAACCGAACGGATTCAACTGTTCTCCGCTCAATATTCCGTTTCAAGTTAAGGAACCGAGTGGCCAAATGTCTTAGATGTTGGGCCTACTGTTATTGGCGGGTCGTTGTCCTCTTCCTGTTTCATCTACCTCTGGGTTTCTTGTGGACTAGATTGAACAGTCCTCCGGAGGTTTCACCGACTTTCTGGACGCACTAAGTCCACTTTTCAACACTGTAGTCTGGTGGTTATACGGGCAGTATTGTGACCAGAACGGAAAGGAAGGTGCTTCTAGAATCAAACCCAGTTGTAGTTTTCTCAAACATCCAAATGCTAAGTGCGGCTGATAGGATCGTCTCACAAACATAAATACCAGTAGAGCATGTCCTGTGGAGATCTTGGAACCCGTCACAGACAGATAAAAGGTCGGGAGGAATTCTTCTTGTTGTAACGTCACACTTAAAAGTCCACTAACAGCCCTGCATTTATACAGTTCCCGCCTTCAGTGTGCAACTACCTACCCCACCTCCCAAATCATCGGTGAACGAAACTGTGGCAGCTACAGCCATTGTACAACTAGTATGCGGTTCTTACAGCTGATCATGATGATGACGAGGATGATGAAAAACCAGTTTCTATGATGGCACACCCGAAATCAGTCATTCTCGACAACCGCAATATAGTCAGCTACAAAGCGGCTTTAAGACGATGAAAAATGCAATTAGGATCACTAGGATAAATGAGTCATACCTTTTCGTCCATTCCAAGCATTCCACTTCGCCTTCGCCTTGAAATCAATGAAAAAAGGAGCGGCTGAAAAATTGGAAATACGATTAGACCACAGCAATAAAGTGAATACTACTTACTTGTGTCGTTGTCACCTTCGTTAGCTTGCTTGAATAAGCCGTAAAGCTCCAGTAAATCATCGTCCCCTGGGCGACATTTAAGATGTTTCACTTTCTCTGAGTATTCTAAAAATCGCTGGAAACTAGGGTAGAGCAGAAAAATACCTTACTTCATCTAAACCACTCATTAGTTGAAATTGATTGTTCGACAATGGAATAACCAACGACCAGTCTGAGTTCGAATTCCAATTTTATATCTGAAAGTAAACGGTATCAGTGGTCATTCGCTGCCGAGGGTTGACACTGAGTTTTTATCAGACAAGACTGTCCTAATGAACAATACACACGCTATACAGCCATCAACCGAAAAAGGAGAACCACGGGGAAAGGTGCGATGAAGATTTTTGTTACGTATAGCCTGACAGTTCACCTTTTCGTTGTTCATGTACTTTATTTCCCGCTTCCAACACTGCTACTGGATGAAAGTGTTGAATAAAGCCTATCCATCATTCTCCGTGCAACCCGAGACACATGCTGGTACTTGTGTTTTTAGTGATAAAAGATTTACTTCGGCCTCCGTGAGGGCAGAATTTCTTCGGAACAGAGCGTGACGCTCCTGAATCAACATTAGGGTAACCGGCTGTTGTATACTCTCCCGCGGTAAGCACAGTCCTCCACGGACTCCAGCGCTTCCACCTGGATTGTATGGGGTATATTCAGAGACCGCACGTTCTGAAGTACGACTGCACTTTGCGGTTGAAAGGCGAACGCCGAAAGATAGTACAACGGTAGTCAGTCTGTACCTTCGTCTTGAAATAGTACGACGTCGTCTGAACGCTCCGGATCGAATAGGTCCTCATTAACAACGACGTGAATACCCGGGTCTTGAATACCACCTAGCGTTCACCTCATTGTTTCATCGACGGTGAAGCTTAACAAGAATCGGGAAGTGCATATCTTTATCGGACACCATTTTGTAGATAGGGTTTTGGAGTGCTCACCATACTCTCACACGCCAGAAAGTATGAGAATATAGAGATAAACCACTTCGGCATGCTCTGTTGAGCAAGTGTGGTTACCAGCACTGACCGACAGACAAAATCAAACGCAGCTTCTACCCGGTCGATAACCCGCTTGACGGTCACAGATCAAGGATTCACGTGCCACCGGAAGACGACGAAGGATCAGTGATACCAGAAGCCTTGTTACAACGGTAGTCAGACTAACACTTCTGTGGTTACTAGATTCACTGTGAGTACCATTTATGAAAACAAGCACCAGTAACGACTTGCCCCAGTAACCTGGAACGGTCTCTTTCTCCCAAATAGACATAAATAGGATAGACAGACACTGGCTGTGAAATTCACCGCCATCCTTGAGCAGAGGAGGTGGAAGGTCGTCAGGGTCAGTAACACGATTACTCTTGAGTACAAACACACTCGGACAGTTCTGAGGCTGAGGGGGTGGTCCGCTTTCACAGTCCACCTTCCTGTCGAAGGGCAGGATTCCCGAATGCCAGCTGTATTGCNTCCTGTCGAAGGGCAGGATTCCCGAATGCGGGTAGCAGATGGCCAGCTGTATTACTGTTTGAAGTATTGTGCCTAACAGTCCAAACGTTAGGTTTGGATGGATATCTGATAACCATTCTGGTCCCTGATAATTTTGTTGACGGGAAGCTACCGAGGACCAGTCCACCAAACGAGGTTAAACAGCTTATGGAGGTTTCCAGCATTTTTCACGTCCGCCGCTTCTTCGGTTTCCCGGGTCCACTACGCTTCTCGGTCCGCAGGGATACTCAATTTCACCTGGCGTCGAATGATGCGCCAGTGGAATTCTGGTTACACCCAGGAGGAATCTGTCGCCGGGCATCCAGCAAAGATATGGTCCTATCAGAGATCCAATATTTGACTGAAGTTGACTGGGTTGTACCACAAACACACGTTTCGGTTCTCAGTAGCGCTTTGGATACTTTCCAAGTGGCCGTTAATGTGCGATAGAACCATCTACAAGGCGTTTGAATAGACGCTTCTGAAAATTGCCCCGCAGCTGTCATCGGTGACGAGTGCTACATTAGTATGGCGGCAGCTGCTGCAAACTAAAAGCTGCAAACACAACTGCAGTGGATTTGTTTGAATGGAATTAAGTGACGAGGGGTTGTGTAAATGCTTCAGCTGCTCCCTACTTAAAACTGCCACCTTGAGGTGGTGGTTGGGCTTGAGTGCCACGATGACCCCGCGGGCTACTTTGGCTGAAACTTTGCTCCACAAGGTGGAACCACGCCACGTAGGTCAAAGAGGAGTGTCAAGACCAAGGGCAGCGAGACCCCGTGCTACGAAGCAATCTGGTTGTAAAGTCGTGCTGCCCTCTGCGACAGGCACGTGAAGCCAGCAAGGTGTTTCCCGTAGACGATCAGCATGTCTATCTTTATGCAAACAGCGATGCTGCCTTCCCCCGAGGAAGGACGGGTTACAAAAGGTCGGCCTCAAAAACCGAATAACCGATCACCCAATGGTTGACCGTGACCACCGGCGCATTATCCAACACGGTCGAAATACCTTTAAAAACAAAGAGCCCGTTGCTGCCACAGCCACCGTACGATAAGTACGCGGTTATTACAGCTGACATTGATGACGGTGATGACGATGATGATGATGACGCTTCACAGCTATTAACAGCAGTCACACGTGGCATTCCCAATAAACTCACCACTGGTGTTCAACGGTGGTGAATAGGGGTGGCACGTTATACTTGTCACCGGTGGCTACGGTCCGCTAAAGGTGGTAATTGCCATCCAAAAAAATTTAGATGCAACTTCGTTGTTTTTTCAGTAAGTTTTCAAAACCTATTGCAACTGGGCAGTTTCAACAACTAATATATTCGAATTGTATGCCTGGGTGCTGTTGATGCTGTGCACTTTAAAGGGTGGGACCCGCGTGACCCAACTGTCCAAGACCAGAGACACTGAAAGATAAGATAAACAGTGTCGGTGACGGCCATGCTGTCAGTTTCCAATGTGCCTGACTGAGTTCCCCATATGCGGTCACATCACACATTTGTTGCAAGTTCCCTCTGGGTTCTCGCTGCCGCATTTTTCTACTTCCCATAATAAGACTTTATTCAACTAAATTGATCTAAATAATCCCTTACTTAACTCCAAAGATGTTACCCACGTTGCGGCTCTGTGTCCGTACTTCCTGCTAAATTAGGCAACAGGCATCTCTCTCTCTGAAACCTTGCTTTCTCCATGCGGGTGTATACTGTGTCCCCAAAACATGCATAGAGGACCTGACTTCGTCTGTGCACCTCAAGCTGCTTAGAACGAACTCAGATGTTTCACATTTCACTCTTCGGATATCTGGTGATCCTGTCGAATGGCTCGTGGAATCTAGGGCATGTGGGTTGAATTTAGCCCAAGACTGAACGCACTTTACTGGACTGGCTACACGGTTGTCTGGTTAAATCAATCAATCATTTTATCAACTAGAAACCGTTTACTGTAGGCATATTGGTTCCAGCTGCTACAGTTTCGATCATCGGAGAGCGGGACAGTGAGGAGGTGATGACATGTTCGGTTAGTTCAGGAAACGGGTAGCTAGGTATTGGAGGTGACAGCTTTGATGCACGAGCGCCACTGACGGCACGATAGAGCCACTTCTGTCAGTGTCAATAGCCATTGGTGAGACGAGACTCGGGGTTCCCATCAAGGGAGGCGGCAGTCACCGATCCGACTAGGTTTGGTGGTTAGTGATTTTATACTCCGTAGCCAGGTCCAATGTCCACTGTATCGGTCGCTTTCACTAAGAACAGAGCCGGAAGAAAAGAGCACTACGAGGCACACGGTCTTCTGGCATGCGGAGTACGTCGTAACCAACGTAATCTATGGAGCGTGAGTTATTCATCACTGTCGGGAGGGTTCCTTTCCCGTAGGACCATCTGGCGTACTTAAGCACCACTAATCTGATACTCCCACCAGACCCGACCAATGTTTTGGACACCGATGGTCAAATACCAACATTTTCCGTATTTCCCCTGCGCGTAGAGCCCACGTCTCTGATCCATAAGGCATCATGGATCGCATTACCGCGTGTGGCGGTTGTTTAAAATCGTCTGCATTTGGGAGGGATATGAACAGAAGAGAGCCATATTGTTTGCGTACTGAATGTATGTGAGGGAACTCCCCTGGAGTATTTCGACTCCCGAGGTTTCAGAAGCTGTACGGTGGCCGGCGACCCTAATAACCAAACATCACGTCAATTGGACGGGTTTATCACGTTCGGGCTACGAACAAAACGACGGTGTGTCCGATTGGTCAGAATATCAGCCAATCGGAATCGAGCATCTTTAGATCGTTTCCTGACGGGGATTCTGGCACGACCTCGTGGAACATCCTGTGATAAACCTATTAATAGAGTTGTCGTAATATTCCTTTGTCTCCATTAAGGACTGCCTGAAGCCACCGTGTCTTTTAATATTTCACATTGGGCAGGGCAGGGGGCCAAGGGACCTATGCACAGTTGCACGACCGTCCAGCAGGTCACAACAGCTGGTGACAAACCGAACCCACGATATCAATTTTGGCGAATAAACTCCAAGTAATTTCACAGCGGCCACAAAAGCAATTCGAAGAAGACAAAATGAGGCTTTCTGGACCTCTCATGCGCAGTAGGTTGGTGGATGCGACAAAAACAGCCGGGTCTCCGTATTCTTCCACAAATGCTGCCGCCAGCTTGAGTACTGAATTCGAGTTCGATGCTGAAGCTGCACGGGATTTCAAAAATTGGTGCAGGAACTGTGAAGGCATGTTTGAAACCGATTTTTTTCAATTTGGTGATGCATGGAAAGCTCGACTGTTGCTGCGAAAACTTGGAAAAGTTGAGCACGATCGGTTCACAAATTTCATACTCAACAAAATCCCTTGTGACCTCGGTCTCATAGATGCTGTCAAGATCCGGGCCAAAGTATTTAGTGAGTACAGTTCCTTATTCAACACTCGTTGTTGGTGTCTAAAGATTACCAAAAGGCTACTGGGTTTTCATCACTTATGCTAATGCGGTTAACAGGGTAGAGGAGTGATTTCAAATTAGCACCACGACCGAGGAAAAATTCAAGTTCCTCATCCTCCAGGCCGGTCTTCATTCGCTGCATGATGTAGGTACCATCCAGTTGGACAGGATCCAGAGTTGGCCTTTTAGAACTTCACCTCGTAATATCAGAATCTTATCGAAGACAATTGGACATCCCAAATTCTCTTAGA